TTTTAATATACTTAGGTTTTGTTAATGTGTATTTTTATTAAATAAAATATTATAAGTTTATATATTACAACTTTGGAATACCTATCTTGGGTTTCACCGCGTGCGACGTCTTCAAAAAGTATAGTAGGGAAGCCTCTCATGCAGTTCCGATGCCAGTCGGTTATATTTGCTATCAAAAATGAATTCCCTGACCCCAAAAACATAAGTCTAGACACCTTACACGACCTGGTGTGCCTTAAAAATATAATTCGATCAAAAGTCTGTCATTTTCTAAAAATGGCGGCTTTTCACGGACTTCCGGTATCCGGATTACATTTCTGGCGCTACCATTGGATTTCTCGGGTTAAAATCATACGAAATCGACACCCAGATCTCGTCTCTAGGCCATATTTAGTTTTTTTTAATGTTACAATAAATCACCCCACCCCCTCTAAAAATCTACCCACACGGAAAATGTCAAGTGTTCTTCGGGTCAAATCGTTTAAATGGTTCTAAGGAACAACTGTACCAAGTGGCACCTTGGTATAATAAAATGCAGTATCTTTCAAGAATTTCCGTTATACCGCTAGTAGGTACTATATTTCATATTGTTACCTACTTCATGTGAACCATTCTACCTTTATACGGTTCTCAAAAAATGTAATAGATTACACAGCAAATCTTTGAGGGATAATGAGTATTACTCACTCATGGCCCTACAAATTTGAAAATTGCTTTTCATATTTATCATGCAAGATATTAAGCAATTATTTTAATTATTATATCAACTGCAAACGTGTTAATAATTTCAAGAGTATGTTACGTACAGAGAAACAAATGTCCATTTAATCTTTTGTTTTCTTTGTTTTTAATTTTCTTTACCTTACTTCTGTCTTATTGTTGTGCATAAGTATTATTTTTGTTTTCTTTATGGATTATGAATTCACGTCGCTTAATGTACAGATGGTAGGAGTAAAAGCGGCCTTTGGCCGATCTCCCACCTTTTAAGCAATTTTTCTTTAAATTTGAGATTGTTTTTCTTATGTTTTATTTTTGCTTAATAAAGAAACATTATTATTATTAAATCTGATTAAATTCACGGTTACATTCATGTGTTTTATTTACTTGATTGAAGGATGAAAAATGGCATACAGTATTGTACAGGATACAGGAATGGCACCTACCCAGCTAAGAAGTACTGGCTTTGATACGGAGGCTGAAATGTCATGTTACACTGCTTATCGTGAAAGGATGCAATAGTGGGAATCTCAAAATGGTATTAAATTGATATAAAAAGCAATTAATGCACTCCCTAAGGATTCAAACCCACCACTACAACGCTAGGGTGGGAGAATCTTCACAATCCCTGGTGGCCTACTCTTCGAAGAACAAAAAACTTTATTGTCCCGAGAATCCAAGTCGCCTCGCAACACGGTTCCAAGGGAAAGCCTCGGGTTCGCCCCCTGGTACTTCAAAGTATACGGTCTGGTTTGGTAGTCAAACCACTAACGCCTTTTACCCACCAAAACTTCAGCGCCGGGATTGTGGCTGACTGGCCGTTGTTTAGTCACTTCCGACACGCATTGCCTCTGCGGTAGGTTCTACTCCCCGCCCCTACACGGGGAACCTATTCACATAATAGAAGAACGAATGAAAACATTTTAATCCTAACGAGAATGTACCCTTGTAGTATAACGACATTACTATATTTATCTAAATCATATGACATTGTGTTTTCTGCAATTGGGATCCCCTCTGGGAAAAAATGCAAGTAAATAATAATTAAATAAACATTTCTGAGCTAGCCGTGGCCTGTTTAAAACCTAGCTTTGTATACTTCTTATATACACTGTCAGTCACCAGGTCGGAAGGCCGGTTTAGGAGATCGAACGTACCACAACAAAGAAATTTAACTGCTGTTACACTGCATTCGAAACTGCACATATGACATAGGTAGATATAAAATGAACAAACATTAGAACTATAAAACGTTTATTAACAGGTTATTAAGTATTGACCGGGAGGTAGCGTACATAGTAACTAAACCATAAGCGACAAAAAATTCGACAATACAGGCTGAAAGTACGTTGAAAACTAAGTAATAATAAAATCACTCGTCTGCCAGTCGTAAGTGGCAGCATTAACTTGGGGCGGCGCTGAATAGGTGACTTCTTTAGGTGATCAATTAAATTACCAAACTATAAGGGTCACGGAAAAGAGTTGTATCAAGAAATCCCATTTTTTCCATAGTTTTCAAATATGCTATGGCAGACGATTTCAAGTGCAGCGTTGGTAGCGAAAGACGCCCTCAAATGTAGGGAAAAACACCCCTGAACTAAACCATGAGGACCGTATAAAAATCATACATAAAAATTCCTCTTTTTGTCACTACTTTAAAATATATCCTGGCAGACGATATTAAGTGTAGCTTTAATAGTGGCAGACGTCTTAGAAGTTAAAAAAATTTAGGTATAGTAAATCCCAGCGAGTGCGAGCGTGTGAGAGATAAGCGCGCGAGAGCATAACCAACAGAGATAGCGATAGGATACTGACTACTGAGATCTTTCAAACCATTTAATTCTAAACTTCTGATTCACATACTTCCATCCACTTCAATCAAACGGATTGTAGAAACTCAGACATTTTTCGGTGGCATTCGCCCAAATTGAGATGAACTAAACCATGAGGGCCATACACAAGTCATACATCCGGTAAATACGTGGGAACCCGGTAACGCGTTACCCTGCGCATTACACACATTAACACCCAAATTCACGAACATCTCTCGAAGATTTATGAATTTCTGCGTGTTATTGGAAAAGAGACCTACTTCCATCTATACCTTGATGGTAGCCTCAATTTTACATTTCCCAAAGCAATAACAGCAATATCCATATCGGAAGCGCTAATAATGACTTTGCTACTTGTTGGTAGTTTACCAAAATGGTAAATTATTCGAGAATCTGCCTCTTAGTGGCTGCAGCACAATTCAGTTTTTACCACATCATCTTCCCTTGTCACAAATTTATAGCACTTATCTTCATATGTGGCAAACACAACTTTCCTTCCAAGTAAAGCACAACAGGTCTTTTTTGCCTATGAACGGTATAAGTAATCTATAAGAGAGGCTTTGAGCTATCATTGCGAAGTGGTTTTATGAAATTTGCAGGCTGCTTCTGAGTGGAAACAGAAATTGAGTAGGATTGTAATCTTTCCTTATTTTGATCCCAAAGATCCTGTTCTGCGTCCTTCATGGAAGGGGTAACTATCTGTCAAAAGTAAGATGTACTTCTCTCGCTGACACAGCACAAATCTTGCCGAGGATGTGTTCAGAAAATCGCTCAAAGGTTTACCGGAGATCTTTTAAAAGATGCAAAAAAAATAATCCATCGATTAAAACAACATCTACAACTGGCGATGGACTAGGAGCACTTGAAGAAATCATACTTCCGAAAAAGTTTCAGCAAAACAAACTTGTCGATTTTAATCATCGATCAATCAATGTTGCATAGAGACAACGAAACTGGAGTCAGAGGATAGTTTAGAACGAGCTGAAGATCTATCTTCTTTTCTCTTCAAGTTTTCTGTTTCTCAGTCTGAGAAGAATTTAAGAAATACCGACAATCTTATCGCGAAATAAACAATTTATTATTTTCCCTAATTTAATTCGTTTGGTAACTCCAAGCGGTGCGTAAATCTATAGCTATCTCTGTTCGTTGTGCTCTCGCGCGCTTATCTCTCATACGCTCGCACTCGCTGGGATTTACTATACCTAATTTTTTTAACTTCTAAGACGTCTGCCACTATTAAAGCTACACTTAATATCGTCTACCAGGATATATTTTAAAGTAGTGACAAAAAGAGGAATTTTTTATGTATAATTTTTATACGGTCCTCATGGTTTAGTTCAGGGGTGTTTTTCCCTACATTGGAGGGCATCTTTCGCTACCAACGCTGCACTTGAAATCGTCTGCCATAGCATATTTGAAAACTATGGAAAAAATGGGATTTCTTGATACAAATCTTTTCCGTGACCCTTATAGTTTGGTAATTTAGTTGATCACCTAAAGAAGTCACCTATTCAGCGCCGCCCCAAGTTAATGCTGCCACTTACGACTGGCAGACGAGTCATTTTATTATTAGTTTTCAACGTACTTTCAGCCTGTATTGTCGAATTTTTTGTCGCTTATGGTTTAGTTACTATGTACGCTGCCTCCCGGTCTAGTATCAGTGGTGTCCTTTCCTCGAATGCAAGAAATAATTATTCAAACAAAGGACTATTTAACAAGCCTAGAACTTTTTTTAGTTTTTTGAGGAACGAGTTTCTTAAATACTTAATTTTCTTCGTAACCCATGCTCTATCATTAGCCTGGTCATTTAAAGTCTTTGTTGAATGAAACTAAAGTACCGTAACCGGCGGATTTAAAATTTTTGTTCATATATTCAGAACTTTTAATTTTCCACAGTGCTGAATGTTGTTCGTACAAATTGATAAATCTCTTTAGTGTTTGCCATTTTGTTAGGTGATGGAAGCCCAGAAATTCAGACAGAGCCTGAAATCAACGGCGATGGAAGTCGGACTGCCGGGAAGTAAACAGCAGCTTGAACCTACACGCGGATTTTTTTGAAGGCGGCGTCCAACGCCGTCTTCCAAAAACGCCGCGTTTGTAGAACGCTTTTAAGGATCAATTCTACAATGCAGGGATATACTGAGAATAAGCTATACCTCGAATAAACGTCGATGGTTGCGTTGGTTACCATTGCGTCAACCAATGGGATACTTGTTACTATGGCAATTATTCCAAGAATATTCTGCGAATAGGTGTAATTGTAAAACCGGCCCAATAATAATTAAATAAACGTTTCTGGCTAGCCGTGGCCTACCTTTGTATACTTCTTATATACACTGTCAGTCACCAGGTCGGAAATCCGGTTTAGAAGATCGAACGTACCACAACAAACAAATTTAACTGCTGTTACACTGCATTCGAAACTGCGCATAGTTATAAAATGAACAAACATTAGAACTATAAAAAGTTTATTAACAAGTTATTAAGTATCAGTAATATCAACAACGGTGTCCTTGAATGCAATAAATAAATAAAGGACTATTTAACAAGCAGTGATAGAGCCGTAAGCGTAAAAGGGTCCTTGTTAGCTTTTAAATGGTCGCGAAGAGACTGTCTTGAATTTTCTTGCAAGAATTCCGCGATTCTTCAATAATTGCTGCAAAAAAAAGAGATCCTGGATTAGAACAATTATGTTAACTAGGTACTGCAGTAGTGTTCCAAAGGTGTGAGTATGAAGGATCAAATCCTATAAATTGTGATTAACTATCACTGTAATTAATTGTGCCATCCATGCAACGGATTCGAAATTACGTTCTCAAATCCAAATGTGTAAAATCAATAAGTCATCTTCATATGCACGTTAATAATCGAAATAGGAATAAATTTCCCCTCGCAAGGTAACACCGGAAATAATTCCGCCGTCACACAAATTAACCGGATCCACTAAATTGGCACAATTTTACGAAATCGTCAAAATTGAATTACCTCATTCTTCAACGCCTGCTTCGACGCGTGGTATTTTTTAGCAAGAGCGACTCGCACCCACTCCGGTTTGTCTTGAATTGCGATGTGTAACAGGTAACGTATACCCAACAAGCAATGCTCCAGTGCCACAAACATGACGAGCCATTGCAATTGGTCAAAGAAGTATGCGTCTTTGCGTTGGTGAAAGCTTATGAACATCAAACCGCAGTTCGTTAAGATGGAGAGCCCGCCGACGACCTCGAAGGCTTTCTAAAATAGATCGCTGTAGTCTACGTGCGGAAAGTGTTGGTGAGACATACCTGCCAGGCACCTATATCTTTCACTTTTTTGGAGAAAGGGCGTCGATTGAACTTGCATAGTTTAAAAGCATCGGATCTGATTTCCACAAAGTTATTTACGACGGCCCAGAACGCTGCCAAAGGATACACAGAAGAAAATAGCACTACGTAACCGAATTGAATGTACATTTCTAAATAATCGTCATAAGTCTCTTCGTAAACGTCCATGAGGTCCTCCTTTTCGGCTTCCGCTATGCGAGTGTCATCACTACGAATTTCAGGGATGTGCTTTAAAATTTCACGGGAATTGATGTTTTCACATTTGTCTTCAACTTCCTTGCTGACGCTTATGTTCTGTTGTGTCTGCAACAAAGCATGTAGTGAAACTGTATGTGATTCCGGTCACCATACTCTTTGCGTGTACTTTTTAATAAAGAGAGGAATTAAAACCTCTTGAATATTATTGATCGCTTGTTGAACGATCAACATAGTAGCCAGTTGGGTTTTTAGTATCTCAAGGTCTTGTTTCACAAAAGCTATGTAAAACAGAGACATGAAGGTATTAACAAATTCAAACATTATCAATTTAATCACACGGTGACGATCAAATTGCGATGCTGTACGATGATTTTCTGAAAAGTTAACATTGGAAAGGTACAAGCCAATTCTCTATAAATACCCCAGTTCGTTAAGTACGTTGCCAATGTTTTATACTTAACGTTTATAATGAACACCAATATGGAATAAATAATACTTGGCAAATTCATCAGCTGCTCGGCTAACGGCGTTCCTAAATCTTTCATGTAATCTTCCACCCAAAATAATGCCAACATAAACACTGATGCGAACAGCATGCAAGCTATAACGATGGGGATTGAGACAAAGTACAACTGAAACAAGTTTCCTGTGATCTTTGCAAAGTAGTGCAACAAGGTTTACTTTGGCGGTGGTTTTCCATCGCGGATATTGGGGTTGAATTCGACCCGTAACTGCATCCTTTCCCATACGTCCGTGAAAGTTCCCCCTGGGCTCATCCAAACTTGTCATGCCGATTGTTCCCCATTGAAAAGCAAGCTCGTTAGACCTCCTTCGCCACAACTAAAACAGAATATTTAAAAGCATCAAGTACAAGATAAAGCACAAGATAAATTACATCTCCTTTTATAGACGTAATACCAGCCAACCTTTGTAGGTAATTGATTACCTACAAGCTAAAGGGAGAGTTGCTTTCATAACTTAATCTCGGCACTTTCACCCCGAGGATTACAGGGCGTAACTAAATTACATAAACTGAATTGTGATGCAATAACGATGTAAATTTTATACGCAACATAACAATCAGGATAATATGATTATACGTACCTCGAGCAATACCGTGACCCATACCACGTTGAAGACGCAAAAGAACGGAACGGTCTCGTGCGAGACGAAAAGCTGCAGGAAACCGAGAAACGTAGGGAAGACCAGGGCTGCCGTGTAGAATCCCAAAAAAGCAAAATAAAGTGCGATAGCTTCTCCGAAATATAACCTTATTTCCTCTAAAAAAAAAGTAAATGAGCTTTTTACTGTAACGAGTTCAACTAATCTTTTAAAAGAAGAGTTTTCACATTAATGAAGTTGTCTGTATAGGAAAAGCCGTTACTGTAATGGAACAATATGTTACGGTAGAACAATTTTAGCCCCTGTTTATATAGGTATATACGGAGATAATCCAGAAAACAATAAGACTAGAAGGGATATGGAATTAAACGGGTAAATTTAATCTAGTTAATTACGCATTCAAGCAATATTTTTGCATGTTCCCGAGATTCTATTGTTAACACTGATATGAGTACTTTACGTCTACCGCTCATTTCCACATTAAAATCATAGACCATGCTCGTAAGTCCATTCCTATGATTGTGATTGGTGTAAATAAATCGCACATTCTAATTGGTAGCAGTGCGCGCGCCGGAAACAGTTTTATAATAATATATATGTATTATTGACATGGTTTTAGGGCCTTTAGATGAGTAGGACGATACCATAACAATTTTGATAAAATTGCTCCACAAATACGGAAGTTGTATATTGCGCATTCGTGGTTTTACTTATGCAACACGGGCGGGTTTGCAAAAAATCTTCGTACTTAGATGGGCCAACGCGGTAAATCAGAAGTTTCATTTCTTCTAACAGACGCTACTCGTAATTTTCTCTGGAATTTGTGCGATTTTGCGATTGATTAATATACATTAACCTCGCACTTAATCTTTCGAATTCTAATCGACTAAATTCGTCCGCAAAGTAACAAATCACATCCCAAACGAAAATCAGTAGTTACTCGCCTCAATGCACCACGCCACTATAGCTCGCTTACAAATGTATAAGATGAAAAATTTTAATTAGTCTTGTAAAAACCAGTGAGAATTTGTCCTATCAAACGTATGCATGATAACGTTCCAGTTAGGAGAAGGAAGGTTTTGCGTGACAAGATCAAAAATTACACAGGTTTGGCCGACGTTTAAGAGATATGCGCTTTGAGAGCGGTTCCAAGTACTGATAGGGTTGAGGGAGCACACAGGGGTACTAGAAAGTTCGCATTCCTACACTTGAGGGGAATCAAACGAGACCATGTCACGGGAGTCCGTTAACGGATTTTATTTGATTCAAATTTTTTTTCGATTTTATATTATGTGGGCAAGTTGTCCTGACTTTATTTATTTTGGAGTCGTTGTTATCGAGTCTAAAATAAATAAAATAAAATAAATACAATTCGATTAGACGGGAAGATGAGTTTTTATTGGTGGAAAGGGTTGCGTGCCGAAACGTTGCACCTAGAGCGAAGTTAAGTCAACAACCTGTAATTTAGCGCGGGGTGTGTAACAGTATTTCTGTACTTGTTATTTAAAGTTTTATATTTTATGTAATTGCAGTAGTCAGTCTAAATGAAATCATGACTCCCAAGTACGAATGATGTGACTGAATTGGAATGCATTTAAAGGAGAATTGTTTATTTCAAGTTATTGTAGCCGAGTATGCATTTCAAATATAGCCGCCATGACGCAGAAAGAGAATTAAACATAAGTAATAATCGCGACGTAAATTGAATTGCATTAATCGTATGTAAATATGTAAATTAGGGTAAAAAAACTGCATAAAAATAACGAGTATTAACGCTAAGGTCAAAGTCCGAGTCATTGTAAATAATTAATCTAGAGCTAGTAGGACCACTTAAACACATCTGTTTTCTACTGCTGCCAAAGTGTCAAAAGCTTAAGTCACGGACGTTCAAGTTATTTATACGTGTGAGAGTTTGTGCGATAAAGTGAATTGAGGTCAGTGGATACAAACTTCGAAAGTATAAATACGGGAATTTCAAGCACCAGAAGGGAGTTGCCCGCCGCCTTTTTACGGAGCAACATCTATGTCAGTCGCGCCCGCAAATTATAAGCGCGGAATTTAATAATAGAGCGTTAAGGCGATCTTTGTAAGAAAAGAAGCAAAAGAACCGAGTGAAATCATCTCGATCGAGTCAACGCAGAAGACGAAGACGATTTTTCAAGGCGCAAAGAAGAAAATTGGAAAGTTGCGAGATTATCGAAGGCGAGTATTCCTTGGCGCTTGTTCTGTCTGCGGTCCGTGCGTAGTCCAGCTTAGAGAGTACCAAGCGAAGACCAAGATAAACCAGCCTGCCTGTGATTGGTCCAACTAAAAAGCGAATAGCAGCCTGCAGTGGGCGATCCGAATTCATTCGACTTCCACATCAATTGTGAAACAAAGTTATCCTCCAAGTCCTGGTGCACTTATGAACTAGAGGTATTTATAAACAATATTGCGTTGTAGTTATTTTGCGTTGTTATTAGTCCCGTGGTAGAATTATTGCATTGTAGTTTATTTATAGAACATTATAAAGTGGTGTGTTTGTAAAGGCGACTCGAGCCGGAAAGCGTTACTACAAGCATTTACAGCAGTTTTGTTTTGACTTTCGATTAAATTGTATGATAAGTTATGAAACCCGAATTAAGTTTCTTTTTGTACTCATCGGTTTGAGAGTAAATCTTTTGATTTTAATTCACGTAGTAAATACAGATTTTCCTTTGTATGCAGTGACTTTTTGTGTATGAATGAGTTAACCCTACTTTTACAGGAAAGTACCGCCTCGCCCCCATTTCTCTTAATATGTGTTACAGTTAAAAGGCGATTTCTAAGAGAAAAAGAAGTTAACAGGTTTTAATAAAGATTATTGATTTTTATTCATTTATCCCTCTCCTTGAGGCCAGAAGAATTATCGACTGATTATCGACTGAAGCTAGCCGGCGCCCAACAACCATTACTTTTTATAAGAAGAACCATCCCTAAATAAAATATTTTGAGAAGAGACTGTAAGGAGAGTTGAAAAGTAACCAGCCGGTTACAGGTGTAATTGAATTATCTGAGGTTATTTGAATACATGTCGTACCAGCGAAGTAAAGTCGACCACCTGTAATTTATGGTAAGAGGTTGTAATGTATAATTGGTCACTCTGTAATAATAGAAATCGTGTTTCGCAAAAAATTGCGAATTACGGTAAATTCGAACAGTAGTGGGAGTTTAAACCTATGAATTAAAGTTCTTTGTGATCTTCATCTATAAGACATCATTTACTGTTTACAAACCACAGATATACACAAGCAACAGATTGCTAACCTTACGCATTTCATGGGTAGTACATTTAGATATAATTAAAATCTATTGTTGTGTAACCTACATGGGGGTGTCGTATCTTTAGGTTGAAACTATGCCGAAGATGAGAGCGAGCCATCTTTTAGTATACAAAATACGTATTGTTAATTTCGGTCTGAATATCAGAAATAGCAATCAGGACAGCCTGTATGTAACATAGTTCAATTTATTTTATAAGAACTAGGGACTTTTTTCAAATAGTCACAGAATTGGAAAAATTGGTTGAATTGTAGTTATAATTTTTTGATTGTAAATTTAGTCGAATATTTCCCTCATATGTCATAAATGCCATATGAGGTGTGCAATTATCGCTCAATTACAGCGATAATTGCACTGTAGAAAGCGAAAGAGCCCTGCGATAATTGCACTGTCCATATCCATGGCAACTGGTAACTCCTTTGGACAATTTCACAATACACCGACAAATTATAAGTAGGTAACGTCAGTTTTTTACAAGTAATGCTTGTTCGGGAAATATTCCCCTAAATTACACTCGTGCATCAAAATAAACCTGATAATTTTTTATTCAAGCAGGTTGTCAGTAAAAAACTGCATTCGGTCATTTTCATATTTTGTTAAAAGAGCCCTCCACCTTCGGTGTCGGGCTCTTTCGCCAAAATATGAAAATAAACTCATGCAGTTTTTAGACAACATGCTTTCAAAAAAATTATCGGTAATTTTGATGCACTTGTGCAATTACCTACGATAATTGTTTAATTTAATTGTATTTGTTATATATATTTAGTTTGTAGTAGAAATTTAAAACTGGTAACTAAGGGAAGATTTAATCGAAATTTTTACGTGAGTTTAAACTTTTATCTGGTCAAGTGTTGATAAAAAATTGTTATCGGACAAGAATTAATTAGTTTATCACAAACAATGTCAAGTGCGAGATAAGAGATGCAGGTGTTTTATCAGTTCTGGCGACGTAGAGGAATCGGGTTAATGACGATCCTGAATTTACTAGCGAGATTGGTTTTTGCTTAAACAGGAAGAGTTAAGAAAAACGAGGCTGTCTCGGGTTATTTTGAAAGAGACCGTAAATGTCTGTAATGTCTAGAAGGATGGACATATTGAACTGCATGTTGTACTTCGTCGCGCGGCTGCAGCGGTCGATTGTGTGGACTTCATGACTTGACATTTACCGTCGGATTACGTAATCTTGAGTAATCGTACTCGATCTTCCAAACACTACTAACGGGCGATCAAAAATGAGTTGCTGTCTAGTCGCCTTTGGAAGTTCAAGTTAAGTACGATTTTCCATGTAAACAAAAATTTCAAAGGCGACTCGACAGCAACTCATTTTTGATCGCATAGTATTAGTTTTCTGTACAAATTGCCGATAAAAATGGCCGAGAGGGTAAGGGCCCCACTCGCGCAGATGTCCACTCAGGAAGAGCTTGCCGCCCTTGTGACCATCACCTAGGAGATTGAAAAGTCCTAGTTCGTAGGAACGAACCTGAGATGGCATGAAACCGGAATATGGGAAAACTGGACTCCAAACGAACTTCCAAACTCATTAACAACAAAATCTGCCTGATAAGCAGTATCTGTTCATTACAAAGAATACCAAAACGAACGGTATCCGTCCTGGAATTAATGAATGCCGCCTCCGAATTAATTGAAGCCCGAGGACACAAAGCTACAAACGGAGATACAGAAACCTGTGAGTTAGCATCATCATCAAGCGAGAGGACATCGAGAAACTGAGAGATACACGCGGTTGAAGAGTAGTGCGGGTCGTTCGGTCAATACTTGAGAGGTCGTCTAGCAAACATGGAGGATATCTCCACGGGTGAAATTTTGGAAGAGGGCACCAGGCGCGAAAAAGAGATGGCACTTTCCGTGACTAATGAAGCGGAGCAGGTTGGAAAAGAGCGGGTAATTAAGCACACTGAAATCGAGGGCAACAGAGCTGACGGCACCTAAAAAGTTGGGTGGTTATAGGGGACGATGAATATGAGATGACCACCTCGGTACGAAGAGCTGGACGTATCTGCGATACCGTCAGAGGAACGCACATTGTTTATAAGGCTGGCAGAATGCGTATACCTAAAAAACTACTTACTACGATGAGCGGAGGAAAGGAGCATGTGTCATGTTCGCGACGAAGCATATGCCGCAGCAGCTATAGAAGATAAGCTTGGGGGAACGATGACAGCGACGACATGCATGCCAAGGAAATTGGGCAAAATGAATATCAACACAGTAAAAAATTGGCCTTTTATTCCTGTACATAAGCAAGATCTCGCGCCTTGCTTTCGAGAGTTTGAATCCGGTTTACTTGTACTCGCAATTCATACGGACATTTATTCCGCTAACTTTTCCATCTAGCGAGAAAAGTCGGCTGTACTACCAAAAGCGGTCTGTTTCCATATTTTGAAGTTGAAACTGCCTTTTTCAAGGAAAGATAAGACCAATTATAATCTAAAGGGAATGCCATCCACATTGATACCTGCAAGTTACTAAATTTTTGAGTCGACTGTTTTAGGAATTTGCATAGTAACTTTATTTAAAGTAATATTAATATTCCTAAAGGAACCGTCCTATGAGAATTATTTGCATGAAAGAGATTTGTATTGAATTTATTGACGAACGGACCCGAACAAAGGATTTTGGGTACTTTCGTGTCATGACTTGGGAATTTGTATTTAATTTTAGTGATACCATTCCTTTGGTTGGATTCAAAGTTTGTTTATGTTTAGTTTTTATCCAGCATTAACCATTTGGGAGATACATAGGGTGCATTTCGTTTTTCGTTAGCAATTGGAACATTTGATATACAATGTTCAAAACCTCTCTTCTCGTGGATAATAATATAATATTGTAGCCAAGTATTTGTATATGCAACTATTGTCTTAATCTCATGACAAACTCACGCCAATGTAATGTTTCCCTTATACCCCTAACCTGAATCGCATCATGACTACTTTCTTACAGTCATAAGCTTTCTTATTTTAAAACTGAACTCGCTCACGTAGATAAATATTTTATCTTGAGTAAAATCGACGAAAATCGTTCCTTAGAAACAAAAGAAGGGCGCCATATGTTTTATCTAACCCAATAGTGAGTTTATATCAAATTCGATTAACGTGAAAACCTTTCAATAACAAAATATTTCCTAAATTCCTTTACAAAATGAAAATGTAAAAATATCGAAGAAATATTTCACGAAACATTTCGGGGAATAATTTTGATAACCGTTAAAAACTGAAAATCTGTCCCTTAAAATCTAGCTTTATCTGCATGTTACTTCCGCCACATAAACTGAGCGTTTATGTATGCGAGCTTTCAAGCGACCATCAACGTGAATGGATCGAAAGACATTTGAATATATTGTCATTTCCTTCATAATAACAATAGCAGCGCGTGTTTTACGTACGCACCATAAAGGTGTATTATCCCTTAGGTATTTCACAAAACCCGAAACATTAAATTAGGAAATGTTAAATCAACTAAAATTTAATATGAAATTCTGGGCCAAATTCCGTATTTGCCGGGGAAGTACAGTAAAGCCTGGGATCAACGGATAAGGATAGTGGCGTTAGAGGCGTCATTGTCGACAGCTTTACAGCGAAGTTAGTGGATTATTAACACGGGTAGTTTAGAATCCAGATGTCCGTGCCAGCCCTTTACGCCGATAATGCAAATGAAAATGGTAATGATACCGCACCACTAACGGAGAAACAAGAGGTAGACGTTTGCTTGACAAAGCTGATTATTTTATTTAACTTTGCGTTTCCGTTACAGGAAGGGCTTGTAAAGATTGATGTTGGTACTTACCCAGAGGTTGGGGGTCGAACAGGGTCGCGTACCAGCGTTTCCCTAATTTCTTCAAACTTTCAACATCGTGCAGGGGATATATAGCTTTAATAAGATGTTCTACAAGACACACATGAAGTATCGATTGCCCTTCGTATAACGTATACTGTGGATATCCGGGAATACAGCCTTCCACCGGAAGAGCACGAATATTTTCCAATTCGTGTTTTATGATCTTCTGTTTTTCAGCGGTCGTCAGAAAATCGTCGACGTGCATTCCGTCCGGCAAGAAGTCCTCCAAACTACTCACCGTAAATTCGCGACGTACTCCGTTTTTGTCGCATTTCATTATTTCCATTTCCTCTGCGGCTTCGAGGAATTTTATCGTCGACGCAGATATGTGAAGGACGACGCCCTTGGAATGTTTTATTGTTAGCGAAGAATTTGCAAGGAATGCCAGAAAAAAACGTGAGATGAAAATAATGGTATGTACGGGATTAGGTGGACTGTGTTTTATTAAAATAGGGACGGTCACTTCGAAACGGTATCGAGAACAAATTTACCTCGGATTCTTTGTAAGGCTGCTTTAATACCAGAAGTTCGCCGCCACCGTTCGTTCTTAACGTGTGGATCTTGTCAACTATCCATTCTAGTGTCGCATCAGGTATATTTTTATCAAATCTCATTACGACGTACGATTGAGGTAAACTGCCATCGTTGTCTTCGTCCGATATTTCGACTGATTGTTTCTCCCTGTCCTCTGATATGCGATGGCGGGACATTATTCCTGTAAAAAAATACATTATCAACCAACGTAAACACTATTGCAATTTTAAATTAGCGCTTTACGAGGGGTTGCGTACCTATCGAAAGGACTGTGCTATATTGTACCGGAAATGCTCCAGACATGACGTCGCCTTTGGCGCTCTGGAATTTTCTACGCGTATTCGAGAATGTTCGGGACTTACATTGCTTGCGTGTATAAATGGTTGCGGACCGAACATCGCGGCAGTCTACTACCGAACGAGTACGTATGAAACATCGAGCGCGAAAATCTGAAATAAATTGCGAAGTGTGAGTGATATAAATAATCGATATAAATTGTACGGATTTTATAGTGTTTTAGTTAATAAATATTGATATAAATCGAACCCGAATTTATAAATCACGTTACAATATGAATATAATATATCAGGCAGTGATAATTCGGCACGTTTCCTTGTACAACATATTCTAATAACAATTTACCTCAATATTTCATTGAGATTCTACTTTATTTTATAATTTATTCAGCAGTAATTCCTACTTTCAGCGGCCCTTTTTCTGTTACAATTCTGTGCACCACCTTTCCCCGGGGAACACATTCATCAACCTTCGTAACCTCGCGATAACGAACTGTTGCGTTTTCGTCGCTATTAATTACCAATCGCAAAATTTTGTATATTTATTTGCGTAGAATATTTTATAGTTCATAATTCATAATTATAACCGATCATGGAGGAACAATTATAAAAATTTCAGAATAAATGTTCATTAACTTTTGAAATAGGCTGGTGAAACTTTTATAAGGATATTGAAATGCGACATGGGATAATATAAGCAATAAAAAGGTGGAATTAAAGAGAGATCCATTGTGATGGTACGTACACGTAAATGTAGAAGTGTTTTTTATTTGTGTGCGTGCGTGTGTTGTGTACTTCAAGATAGACTACAGTAAGTTTTCAATTAAATGGAGAATGGGTACTATGACCTCCAATTGGGATCTCAAAGTAATAATAATAATATTTATTATCCAAACAAGTAAATATATACTCAATAACAGGACAATATTCCAAAAAATTGCAAAATCAAAAGTACATGCGAGTAGTTTAGTAATTAATTAAAAAAAAAAACTCTTCAAGATATTAATAAAGAAAATAAATTATAACTCTAATGATTGCAACAACCGACCCAAGCCTTCATGAAAAACGTCTACTGGCGTGGATAAGTCATTAAATAATGAGCAGATTAAATGCACTGGAGATCTCTGAAGCACATTGGTCTTACATCTTGGTAGGTAAAATGGTGCTGGGCATCTTGAGGACAAACGTGGGACGCAGAATCCAATTTTCCCGAGCACAGACGGGCAATCAATTTTATTATTTAAGATATTATAGAGAAATGATAGGCAGAGACGTTTTCTTCTAGTTTTAAGGGGCGGCAGCTCAAACCGTTCACACATTATCTGCTGAGAAAATCCCCTGGGTGGATAAGACTCCATCTTTCCTGTAGCATAAGTATTTAACAAGACGCCGCTGGATGTATTCAATTGCTTCATCGTATTTTACATACAGGGGGTACCAAATCAACGCCCCATACTCTAATTTGCTCCTAACCAAGGATGTGTAGAGAGCCTTCATGGTATACGTATCGGTAAAAGCGGAGCTTGAACGAATAATAAATCCCAATGTCTGAGTTGAGCGTTTTACCATGTCGTTTTGTGGTAGGAAAATGTTAGGGCACCGTCGAAGTACACTCCTAAGTCCTTGATTATTTTCACTCTTTCCAATACGGTCCCAGCTAGAGTGCAGTCGTAGTGCAGTTGATTACGTTTACGAGAGAAAGTCATAGTCTTGCACTTCGAAACATTCAAATTTAGTTTGTTAGATCGGCACCAATCCTGTAGGGAGTCCAAATCACGTTGAAGTTTAATGCAATCGGCTATGCAGGTGATCTGAGAAAAAATTTTAAGATCGTCGGCGAACAACAGCTTATGGGACGATATACGACGGGGCAAGTCATTAATAAATATTAAAAATAGTAGAGGACCCAAATTAGATCCTTGGGGCACACCTGAGGTTGCAGTAAATGGTACAGATCCATAGCCATTATACCAGACATATTGGTTTCGGTTTAACAAGTATGATCTTAAGAAATCTACTAGACCAACACAAAATCCATAATCAGATAATTTCTTTAAAATTATAGCATGGTCAATTTGATCAAATGCCTTCTGAAAATCTGTGTAAATGACATCCATTTGACCTTGTTCGTCAATAATTTCTGAGCAAATTTGGGAGAATGCTGCAAGATTCGATATGGTTGACCTTTTCCTAACAAATCCATGTTGGTGTTGCGACAGCTGCTGTTGAATTTGATGGAACAACTTGTAAAGTACTATCTCAAATAATTTTGAGAAATTGCAGAGGATGGAAATCGGTCGATAGTTTTCAATTTTCGAATTTGTTCCGGATTTTAATATTGGACACACCTTGGCAGTTTTCCATATATCGGGAAAGATACACTGCTTCAAAGCCAAATTATAAATGTGTAAAAGTGGACGAGTTAATACGTTGCCACAATCTTTTATAAAAAATGACGGAATTTGGTCCGAACCAGCCGTATATTTATTCTTGAGCTTTTTAATACCACAGATTACATCATCTTCAGATATTTGATCAATCAAGATTAGATTGTTAAGGTTACCATGAAAGGAGTCATTATCGAAGGCCGGTAAGGATTGTTTGTACACACTGGAAAAATATGTCGCAAAGGCGTCAACGATTGTTTGTGGAGTGTTAAAAATAGAATTGTTATAACACATTTCACCAGGAATACGCGATCTACCGCTCTTTGATCGAATGAATGACCAAAACTGTTTCGGATCTGAGGATAGAGAGTGTTCAATATGTGAAATATAGTGACTATGGCACTCACTCAGTAGTTTCTTTGTTAATTAGGCGTCAACGATTGTTTGTGGAGTGTTAAAAATAGAATTGTTATAACACATTTCACCAGGAATACGCGATCTACCGCTCTTTGATCGAATGAATGACCAAAACTGTTTGGGATCTGAGGATAGAGTGTTCAGTATGTGAAATATACTGACTATGGCACTCACTCAGTAGTTTCTTTGTTAATTCTTAATGCATGCATGTAATGCATGACAGAAAAAAACAAACCGGGAATAAATAAATATTGATGTGTAAACAGCGTTGGCGTTATTTCGGTTTCAACACCTAAAATAATGACGGGACACCCTGTATATGTTAAGTTTTTTAATTTAGTACAGCAAATCTATGGGAGTTATTTACAAATAAGCGCAAAATTGGTTTATTTCATTTGAATTTGTATCTCTGTAGTGTTATTTTTCTTTTTAGAATTATTTGTAATTGCGTATTGTTTGTTTAGATTTGTTTATTAAGCGGCAGGGCAAAGCGATGCAAGCTTTATAGGGGAGTCGATGGTGTCCGTCTGTCCGTGACCACGATAACTGTCAAACGCTTAGACCGATTTGGTTGAAACTTTGCACAGTTAACATATATACCACATGTAACAAGCCAATTGAAAATGGGTCAACTCCAATGACTCCGTGGGGTCACACCGAGGTGCCCCGCCGCTTTTTTAAACGCTCCTTATGGGTTTATTTAATTATAAAACGTGAATTTGCGTGTTAAAATGTAGACAGGCACATCTGGTCGTTTGCGATAAGAGATTTTGTTATCGGACGAAATCGGATCAACGATTTGTCGAAGCTGGCGTTATCAAGACTAGCGATATTTTATCTGAAAAAACCGAAAAACGGAGCAATAAAAGTTTGTACCGTCTGAACAGCCACCGGCTTAATGTTGTTTGTCATCAAGATTTGGTATCCGAAAGAAAAGTTCAAAACCTGTCAGGGTTATGTGCGCCATGCTTATCGCAAACCGCTGAGCGACCAGATAATTAAGATCAGATTAAGATAAGTCTTTTAGACTTGAAGGGAACCGACAACTATAATTGTTCATTGATGGAAATAAAAAAATTCAATTCAATTAAAAGAGAAAAAAAAACTGTCGAGTGCATAATTTAAGATTTTTTTTTATTTCTTTTGTCGAACGCCTGTTTGCGGGGTAATTTGATCAAACAAGCTTTGCAAGCTTCAAATTATTTTGTGTCCCTGAGAGACTGGATACATCTTAATTAAAGTGATCCTCCTCAACCCCACCATTTTGGATACACCGTCCACCCCACCACCCAGGCTTATTTGGATGAATCCTTTATCTTTATTTGAAATATAGTAAAATTAGAAATATAGGTATACTAAGAGTTAATAATAATAACAATGTATGTGAAAAGAAAAACTTTTAAGTTATTTTAATTAAATGTTACATGCATTAAAAGGTTGGCATAGTGCCGCGCGATCTCAAAATATTTTTAGATGCAAGTACCTCTGTTCTGATTAATTTAGCTGCTCAAGAGTAAGCAATTTAAATTAGAAATAATAATATTGCAGTGCAAAAAAATGAAGCAAATATTATCAGTGCCCGAGCATTTCGAGAAAAATAGACGTTGCGAACACATTATAATGCAGTGGATTATCTAAGAGTAATTTTTAAAACAAAAACAAACAAAACATTTACTTGAAGTTCTGTGACAAACAAATTGATTCACTCTGTATGTACAAGTCAAGTAGATACTACTTCAAGGTTGCCACATGTAACGATCCTTTTATTGGTAAATTTACCCTTTGACAGCAACAATAATGACTACTCTCCTTGGAGGTTAGATGAATACTTACGAATTCGAACCGATAATGTTATGGGTTATGTAAGTGTAGGGGAACTCAATTGGAGATAATTATATGAAATTTATCAACCCGCATATAAAACAATACAAGCGTACACTGATAACGCGAGTAAAATGAGCTTCAAGAGCGCGCCTGGTGGCATTTGGAAGTACTACTTATCCTCTATACGCTTGCGCAGTTTGAAAACGATGTTTTGAGTAGCGAAAGTATGACATTGTGTTCTAATACTATACCAATGAAGGTTACTACTACGTTGCGGATATCGAATTGCTGAGAAAGTGGCTCCTATGAAAGTCATCGTCTTAAAACGCCTCAATTTTGATGAAACACGCAGCGGACGTCCAATCATTGTCACAGACGATAATCATCGGAAACTCGTCGAAGATTTGATTCCAAATTCCATGTGATTTTTATTCTATGTAGGTACCTATGTTTGTCTTTACTTTA